TAAAATAAAAACATTTAGAAACTATTTAACTATGCCATATTCAAAAACTGGTCAAGAAACCAAACTAACCTAACAGCACCTTCTCCAGAAATCATATTCTTCATGAAAATATAGGAAGGTGAATATAATTCTCTTTACCAGTGATTACACATATTTTTTTTAAATGTTTTCACTGATTTTTCTTTTTTTTTTAGAGAGAGGAAGGGAGGGACAGATAGAAACTTGGATGTGAGAGAGAAACATCAATCAGATACCTCCTACACACCCTCTACTGGGGATTAAGCCTACAACCCGGGCATGTGCCTGACAGGGAATCAAACCAGGACCTCTCAGTCCATGGGAGGACGCTCAATCCACTGAACCACACTGGCCAGGCATAATTACACATATTAATAACTTCACAAAGCATCTCATTTTACAAAATCTTGAATAGCGATTTACCAGTTACCTTGCAGTTTATAAGGTATGTTTTGTAAAGAAATAAAAACATCAAAACCCTGTGAAACCTGTCCTGGTAAAACCTTAGAGAAAAAAAGGAGACTTTATCTATAACATTTAAATCAAGCAAATAAAACATAAAAGGTGTCTCCTTCCTCTCTGAAGAAATTCAGTAGAAGCATTCTGTTAAGTATAAACTGGGAAGTTAATGCACTACCAAGAGTCTATCACTTGGTTATACAAAGTGCAAAGATTGCAGCAACAACCTTCCTTTCACCTCACAGTGGATTTTCTCTCTAAATATCACACTTCTGGCTTTTCCAACCACTATACCTTCAGTAGGAAATTAGCAGTCTTTTTCACAACTAATTTTTAAAATCCTCACCTCTGCGTTTCACTGAGCCTCCCTCATCTCCATGAACCATATGGTGGTTCTGGGCTTTGCCTGCTTTTGTTCGTCACTTTACAAAACAGTCCATACATATACGCCAGTAATCTTTCCCTATTGATCAATTTCCAACCAAATATACAATTCAAGCTATTATAAGTTATAAATCTGGAAGAGGTTTTAGCTCTTCAAAACTTGGCATCAAATGGAGATTTTCATACTGAATGATTTTATCTTTTAGTAACTTTCTAAACTGTGAAGTAGTATCTCAGAAATGGGTTCATGTGCCTATCCTGTACACAATATATTAACACTGAAAGATTATCTAGAAAATTCAGATTCTGCCTCTTCCTCTAATTTCTTCAGCAATAGTTCACCATTCTTCAAAATTAGATCTGTAGGTTCCTCCAGTTCTAACCTCTTCTAAATACCTTCTTTTTTTCAGCTACTGATCTGTCACAATTCTTTTTCCTGAAACTTTTTTAAAATTGTACTCATCTCTTCATTCACATCCCACCTGTTCCCAGCAGGCATAACTGGTCCCAGGACCACGTCCTTCCTTTCACAGCAGATTATCCATAAAGAATTAAGTCCTTGGGCCCTGGCCGGTTTGGCTCAGCGGTTAGAGCGTCGGCCTGCGGTCTAGAGAGACCCGGGTTCGGTTCCCGCTAAGGGCACGTACCTCGGTTGCAATTTGTCCCCGGCCCTGGTTGGTCGTGCGGGTGGCAGCCACTCGATGTGTCCCTTTCACATCGATGTTTCTCTCTCTCTCTCTTCCTCTCTCTCCCTCCCACTCTACCTGAACAAAAAATGGAAAAATGTCCTCCGGTGAGGAAAAAAAAAAAAAGAATTAAGTCCTTGGCCCAGGACCTAAAGTATCTATTGTCTTCACCTCAGACCATGGGTCAATGTTAATTTTAAATTTTATTTAAACACATGATAACGAGTTTAGGATTTACTCAGGTTGATATGGAAAGAGTGGCAAGGAAGTTGCAAGTGTTTAGGACTATTAAAACGATGTAGCATGGAACCTAGGGTAAAACAGGAGGAAGTGCAGACACAAGGAAGTAATGGAGATACTAACGGGTGACAAGGTGACCTGAAGAGGAAGAACTTCTACAAAAGGTTGCTGTGAGACTCAAATGGATCAATAACAACAGTCACTAATGCTCACGACACCCGTGAATCAGTTTCTAAATATTTAACAGGCTAAACACTTTAGTAAATTGATCATAGAGCTATAAAGAAATAGAACTCTAAAAACCAGCTACTTAACCACTGTGCACCTAAAGAAAACTAACAACAAAGTGCGACATGCCAAAAGATAATTATTTTCCTTCAAAATATGCACACTAATCTATATTATAGGATAGATCACCACAATAAACAGAAAGTTTGTGAATAAAATGCCCTACTGGTTTTTAAAAAAACATGTATTTTCAATAAAGGCTATTCCCCTCCAAAAATCCAATGTCCCTATCCTATCATTCAAATAAATAGATTTAATATACTCTCCTGCCCTGGCCAGTTTGGCTCCGCTGTTAAAAGCGCCGGTCCTCGGACCAATGAGTCGCAGGTTCAATCAGGTCAAGGGCACATATCTCGATTGCAGTTCATCCTTGGCCCTGGTTGGGGTCCTGCAGGAGGTAGCCAGTCGATGTGTCTCTCACATCGATGTTTCTTTCTCTCTCTCCCTCTGTCTGAATATAAATAGAAAAATATCCTCAGGTGAGGATTTAATATAAACTCTCTTTCTGCCCAACTCATTTACCCTTGATATATGCTGCTGTATGCATTTTACCTTCTACAGCCAAAACATTACTCATAATTTTATATCCAATAAAATTTTAAAACATTTTTCTTTTAGCAAGAGAAAAACACATGCTTAAGTGTTAATCATTTCTAAAGACTGGTTAAAGAATATAATTTTCACATGGCATTTAAAAATATAAAATTTGGCCTGGCTGGTGTGTCTCAGTGGTTGAGCGTTGACCCATGCACCAAGAGGCCGCAGGTTTGATTCCCAGTCAGGGCACATGCCCAGGTGGTGGAGCTGATCACCAGTCGGGTCATGCAGGAAGTGGCCAATCGATATTCTCATCGGTGTCTCTCTCTATCTCTCCCCCTCTCACTTTCTTTCTCTCCAAAATAAATAAAGGGATGTGTGTGTGTGTGTGTGTGTGTGTGTGTGTATATACATACATATATATATATATATATATATATATATATGTATATGTATATACGTATAAATTTGAATTTCCACAAGAAGTTTGATGAAGTTTTTCACAACATTTTATTGTGAAAGCTGTTTAGGAAAAACCTAGCGGGCTGAACACCAAACTCAACTGTTGAGCAGTATCAGCTGAGAGGCAAACTGAGTAATCTGTCTGCAATATTAACCTGCTTTTCAAATGTTTTGTTATTTATCTAGATGAAGGCATAGGCCAATTCTGTGAATGACACTGGACTAGGGGACATTACTGCATGGAAAACAACCACCAAGATTTTTTTTTAAATCTCAACAGTTTTTAAAAAGTGAGCTCAAAATCTAGGATGAAGTTTAATAAACATGAAATTTTGTCCTTAGAAAAACCAAAACAGAATATTCAGAGAGCTCTTAGTGTCACGTGGGGGTTGGGGGAGAAAACTTAAAGGTGTTGGCTCAAGGCAAGTGCAAAGTAAGCGAACAGTTATGACAAAGCTATCCAGCAAAAAAGTACTCTAAGACGTTGAGCGAGGAAGGAAGCATACCTAAAGATGTCCTGTGTCGAGGTCTTTGTAAGAATGCGGGTCACATTATAACATAACCTTTTCAATAACAAAACGAGGCTAGGAATGGAGACTGAGGGCATCCCTTGCCTAAGGTCGCACTGCTACTACTGAATGTGACCAGGGCACACTACCCTCCGGTCTCCTAGTGCAGTACTAACAGAAACGAGAGTGGCGGTCACTGCGTTATTCCACCTCCGTCAGAAACTTCCCCTGGGGCTGGCTCACCAGACTTTGACCCAGAGGTGCCCCAGACAGTGAAGGGAGCGTGCTGAGGTGCCCATTAAGCGGCGAGGAGAAGAGAAAAGACCTGGGGTACGCGACTACCTGGATACTTTGTTTATTCGCAGGTAGGTAATTCCGGGAGCACCTCTAAGGTCAAACGTGTAGACCTGCACGTTGGACTTAAAGGCCGTCCGTTTAAACCTAAATTACGGAAACTTCCAAACCAACAGCGCTCGCCCACGACGGCGCAGTTTCCCGGGCCCAGCCAAGGGGCACTGCGGGGGAGCCGGCTCCCCAGGCCTCTCCGCACCTGCCAACGCCATGCGTGAAGTGGGGGCACGGTCTCTCCGGGAAGGGCAACCCTAACCGACGCCCGCGGCGCCGAGACATCTCTCCGGCCCTCACCGGCGGCGGGGCTAGGGGCGCAGGTCAAAGTGCACGGAGTCGGGGTGCGTGCGGGAATGAATGGGGGCAATGAAGTTCGGAACAGGGCTCCGGAAGGCGCGGGGCGACCGGGCAGCCCTCCACCCCTGGGCGAAGCCGCGGACGCCTTCACCGGGCAGCCCGTGCCGGAAGGAAGATGGCGGCCCGGCACTCACCAATCACGCCGCCGCCGAGCCTGCCGCCCAGTGCCTGCCGGCCCGTGCGCTGCCACCGTCGCTTTCCAGCCACACGGCGCCAGGGACCGACGCGGAGACGCAGGATACGGACTCAGCCCTGAAGCATCCCCACCACCCGGCAACCTGAAGATCCGCACTTCCGGCGCCGTCGGAAGTCCCAGCCTGGCCGCGCGCAAAGAACGCCAGAAGTCCGGCCCATGACGCCGGAAAATCCCTCCGGCCACGCCCACTTCCGGGCTGCAGGAAGTCCCGCCCAGCCTCCCGAAGTTCTGCCAGGCCTGGACCGCACGGATGCCGTCGGAAGTCCAGCTCGGCCTCGCCCCGAGCTCGTCCCTCCGGAAGCCCCGCTCGGGCTCTGCCCCTCATCGGCACCTCCGCTTCGGCCTGCGGCCTGCACGGGAAATCCCGCTCCACCGCCCCTGCCCACGGTCGGAGCCGGGGGTCACTTGCGATGTGGAGTCGTAATGGCGTTCCTTGTCTCCCATGATTAGGAGGCCCTCGCTCCCGAGTCGGGAGTTTTCTGGGGTGGCCCTGTGGTGTAGCCCGCAGATACTCACCGCGGTCGGTTTCCTCGGCGTCCCGGCATCGCACAGTCCGGAACATTGTCGCGCAGGCCCGTGGACTCGGGCGAGTGCTGCCCGTAACGGCCGGGCCGCGGGCGGACGTTGGGAGTGAGGCTGGTTGCTGCTGGAGCCCGGCTGAGATACTATTAATATTTCAGCTTATCTGCAGAAGGTGACTCAGCCAGCGTCTTTTCTGAAGTATCCGTTCACCATTGGCTCGCAAGAGAAACGAAATCAGCTGCTGACTGCGAAAGGCTTGCTTGGCTTTGAGCCAGGCTGGGAAATCTGCATAGCAGATGAGTCCAGGTCTCACTGGGAGTGAAAAGCTCACCGCAGTGAATCAAAAGCATGAAAGCATTTCTCTCCTATCTGGGTCACCTTTCTTGCTCCTTCCTTTAAAAACTAAAGCTCAACATTCGAATACGGGAAACATGAATGTGATTGTTAGACAAGAGACAAATTTAACGTATTTGGTGATCCAAATAACCAAAAAGGATATAGACTAAAACCTTAAGTGATGTGTGCATAAAAGCTTATGCTGGAAACAATTATGTAACCAAGGCCTTCACACTCTTGGAGGTTGTAGAAAACATTCAAGCAACAGTTTTGTCACCTAATGTGTACAAGGACTTTTGGGCATGGTCACTGATACAAAGCTTTATGAACTACAGTATCTTAAGCTAACTCATGCTAACCTGTGGGTTTATTTTGCAACAGGGCATCCACAGTTTGGATGAAACAGGATATTGTTAATTGACGTCATTTTTCTTTTATATATAAAACCAGACCATGAATGGGTGGAGGCCTCCTATATCTATTTGAGACCAGGTAGAATCGTATATGTGTGTTATTCCAATGTTGCTGGCAGTATGGGAGAGCAGTGGGTTGTCCTGTAAAATCTACCCTGCACCCCCCTCCCCACAACTGCTTTTAAAGGGTAGAGAGACAATGACCACGTGAGAAAGGGCAGTTGAGCAAAAAGAAAAAAATGGGTAAACTGGTTACAGGCAATGGGGATGGGGGGGCATTGTAAAGGTTTCTGTCAAAGGGGGAAGGAATGTCGGAAGGGCTGGTCACCAGTGAGTCCCAGTCACGGGTCCAGTGTTCAGCGTTCCAATAGATAATTAGATTGTTCATCTTTCAGTGATATCAGGTGGTCCCTCTTGTTCTCAAATTAGGAGAATGGAGGCATTCCTGAGGCAAGCTACTGAGGGGCACACCTCCCAGCTAGGTCGAAGTGGGTGTTTCTTAAAAACAAAGCAACCATGATTAACATTGCAAAGGATGATTAACATTTCTTTTTTTTTTTTTTCTTTATTGAATTTTGTTTTTTTAGGAAGGGAGAGGGAGAGAGAAAAACATCCATGAGAGAGAACTGGGATTGGCCGCCTCCTGCATGCCCCCCACTGGGGATCAGCCCACAACCTAGGCAAGTGCCCTGACCACCACGAATTGAACTGGTGACCTCTTGATGCATGGGTCAACACTCAACCACTGAGCGACACCAGCCGGGTTAACGTTTCTTATAACTATGGCTAGTACGCAACCATGATCAGTTCTCTATTCCATTAGTCTCTCCCACCCCTTTCAGTTCCAAAAAAGTCACTGTAAATAAATAAGTGCATAAGGAGGTGTCACAAAACCAAGAAGGGAAAGGAATCACCACTTTGAGGGCCAACTGTGTGCCAGGCATTCACATATTTGGTAACTTGTTTAATCCTCAAAATGATAATGTAAAGTAAAATGATTCGAAATTGAATAATAATTAAACATGAGTGTTAAAATTACTTTTCATAATTCAAAAAGGTACTATGCCACAGAGCAAAGATTAGATCAAAATCCAGGTCCACGTCAAAGTCCATGTTCTTTCCACCACGTATTCCTTTGATGGGGCTGCAGAAACAAAATACCACAAACTAGGTGGCTTAAGCTTAAGCAGTAGAAATAGATGTCAGGATCAAAGTGTCAGCAGAGTTGGTTCCCTCTGAGAGCTGTGAGGGAGACTATTCCAAGCCTCTCTTAGCTGCTACTTACTGATCTGGCGTTACTTGGCTTGTGGCAGTCATAACGGCAGTCTTCATGTGGCATCTCCCTGTGTGCAGGTCCCTTCCCTTGGCATTCATTTTATAAGATCACATTAGAGCCCTGGACAGTGTGGTTCAATTGGTTGAGTTGTCCCTTGCACGTAAAGGTTGTTGGTTCCATTCCCAGTCAGGGCACATGCCCGAGTTGCAGGCTCCATCCCCAGTAGGGAGAATGCAGGAGGCAGCTGATCAATGTTTCTCTCATAACAATGTTTCTCTCTATATTTCTCCCCCTCTCCTTTTCTGTCTCTAAAAATAATCAACAATAAAAATGTTTAAAAATAATAATAATGCCTGGCCGATGTGGGTCAGTGGTTGAGCATCGACCCATGCACCAAGAGGTCATCGGTTCCATTCCCAGTAAGATACATGTCCAGGTTGTGGGCCCATTTCCCAGTGGGGGACATGCAAGAGGCAGCCAATCAGTGTTCTCATCAATGTTTCCACCTCTCTCTCTCTTTCTCTCTCACTCTCTCTCCCTTCCTCTCTCTAAAAATCAATAAAAAAAATTTTCTTAAATAATAATCATATTGGATTAGGGGCCCATCCTACTCCACTGTGACTTCATTCTAACTAAGTACATCTACAACAACCCTATTTTCAAATAAGGTCACATTCTGAGATTCTAAGTGTTAGAATTTCAACATGTGAATTGGGAAGGGGGACACAATTTAGCCCATAACACACTGTATCCTGAAACAACTCTGTAAATTTTTTTTTAAAGCCTCATTTGTAAAAAGTTGTGATTGCCATCCTTGTATCCAATTACACACTCTTGCAGAAACTGTATGGCGTACTCTTCCCATAAAATAAGTTCCTATTTTGTCATGTGTCCATCCATGCAAAAGGCCTGTGATTTATCCCCACCAAGAGGAATATAAAGCTAAATTTAGTAAGATTCAGTTATGAGCATGGCTGACAGGTAGATGAGGTTTGCTGGGTATTCAGTCATGTGCTTCATCACTGATTATTTGATCTGTACCTCAAACACTTAGGTATACTATAGGGTTGAACTGTTTGAGATATTGCTTCATGGTCATTCTGAAGTCATTTTAATATGTTTGTTTGTTTTTTATTCTCGCCTGAGGATATTTTTCTATTTATCTTCAAATAGAGTGGGAGGGAGGGAGAGAGAGAGAAACACTGACATGAGAGGGACACATCTACTTGTTGCCTCCCGCACGACCCCGACCAGGTCCGGGGATGAACCGCAACCTAGGTGCAAGCCCTTGGCCAGAATCGAACCCGCGACTCTTTGGTCCACAAGCCGACATTCTAACCACTGAGACAAACCAGCCAGGACTGACGTCTTTTTATATACGTGCATTATATGAGAGATATATATAAAATAAACATTTTTTTCTTGAGGAACTCCATGTTTAGCACTTTATTCAGATCTCAGAAATGTTCTCATTACCTTTCTTGTTTTTGTGTTTGTTTTTTTTAATAAATCCTCACCCAAGGATTTTTTTTTAATTGATTTTTTTAGATAGAGTGGAAGAGTGGAAGAGCCCAGCCGGTGTGGCTCAGTGATTGAGCATCAACCCATGCACCAAGAGGTCGCCGGTTGGATTCCGGTCAGGGCACATGCCCAGGTTGTTGGCCAGATCCCCAGTGCAGGAAGCGGCCAATCGATGTTCTCTCTCATTGATGTTTCTACTTCTCTTTCTCCCTATCCCTTCCTCTCTCTCTCAAATCAATAAAGAAAAAAATATTGTTTTAAAAAAATAGGGAGAGAAAGAGAATCATCAATGTGTGAGAAAGGCATTAATTGGTTGTGTCCTGCACAACCTGACGGGCCGGGGATCAAACCTGCAGCCCAGGCACATGTCCTTGACTGGGAATCAAACCTGAGACCCTTCGGTCCACAGGCCAATGCTCTACCAGGAGTAAGAAACATCTGGCCATGGGCCATATAAGGCCTGAGAAATCAATACCAGCTAACATCACATGCCTCAGCAAATTAGCCTGACCAAATATAGCAGGCTAATGTTTAAGTGGATAATTTTGTATGGCCTTCAAATAATGTTATAAATACCCAAATGGCCTGTGGCAGAAAAATGGTTCCCCACCCCTTACTAACTATTGAAACAAACCGGTCAGGGCTCCTTATCACTTATTTTTAAATGGCATAGCCCATCACTATTCCTTAATTGTACGTACTTTGTTTTTCTTCATAGTACTTATAACCTCTTGACATTATTTGTGTATTTCTTACTGTTTTCCCCACTAGCATGTAAACTCTATAAAAACAGCAACGTTTTCTATTGTACTCACTGCTTTATGCCCATGACCTAGAAAAGTGCCTGACATAATATCTACTCAAAAATGTTTGCTAAAGGTAAACAAAGATTTGTACTTCTCCTGAGTTTACAGACTCCTGAATGGCATAGGTCAAGTTTTCCAGTTCTTGCCCGGCCGGTGTGGCTCAGTGGTTGAGCATCGACCCATGCACCAAGAGGTCGCTGGTTGGATTCCCAGTCAGGGCATATGCCCATGTTGTGGGCCAAATCCCCAGTGGAGAGCGTGCAGAAGACGGCCAATCGATGTTCTCTCTCATCAATGTTTCTATCTCCCTCTTTCCTTTCCTCTCTCTCTAACATAAAGAAAAAAGGCCCTGGCCAGTTTGGCTCAGCGGTTGAGCATTGGCCTGCGGACCAGAGAGTTCCAGGTTCGGTTCCCGCTAGGGGCACGTACCACAAAAAAAGAAAATAAAGGAAAAAGAAAAAAAAAGGTTTTCCAGTTTCTTCTGTGTACCAAATTTATCTAGCTCTATGCTAGAGCAGAACAAAGAAAAACACTGTCAGCTGGCAAGTGAATACAATCACCTGAACAACTGCACAATCTCTCCTATTCAAAACTGTTGTCACTCGGAGAGGAGGAAAGTTCATTCATAGTTTTGTGGACCATACAATGAATTTCACCAGAACTGACTTGCTAACTCATTTACCTGTGCCTCATCCATGATACTAGAACAGGTACTGATTTTCTTGCCTCAAAAAACATTATAGTCCAGCCAGTGTGGCTCA